AGTTTTTCTGAGCTAATAGAATAGATAAAAGAAAATGCATGCTCTCCAAAAAGAATTAAGATGTTGAGGATAACTGGATAACTCGTTTTGGTTAAGATTAAAATTTAAAAGGTATTATCCAAGGGTGGAAATTTGGTTTGTAGTCTGCAAACTACACCAACTCTAGACATTTTGATTAACATCATCATCAATAATTTGTGATTAGTGAGTTGAGTGTGGTTAGCAAAGTATATTTTATGTTTAGTAGCTAACAACTAATCGTAATTTTTTTTTTATCTTTAAGCTCAACATATAAAGAGTTAGTACTGATTCTGTCAAATTCTAAAATAACTCACTTTCAAAATAAAAATTTAGGACGTGTGACATGAGAAATTAATTTGCATTTTGTAATGGAAAAATATTTGCCGTTCTTATCTTGGACGCATAAGTTAAATACTAAACTCGAAAATGCAAAACTCTCACGATGAGTAAGATATACCAAAATTCAATCTTCACGACCAACACAATAATCATCAATATAGTCTAGTCGAGAATATGAGATTTATTGGTCGCGGCCGCGACTTTTACTAAATTTCTAAAAATCTGTTTTCTTGTCAATTATGCTCAAGCTACTGTAGTAGGTCGCTCAATGGGTATAGTGTCAATTTTATTGGATATCCCAAAGAGACCCCTTTGAGCGTCTCGCGGAGTAGAATCCACTTCTTTAATTGGATCATGAGAGACCATTTTGTGACTGCTTCCTTCCCGTTGACATGTCCTTTAGAGTTCTAGTGCCGGAGTGAGCTACGGACGTGACAAGGCAGAAACCATATGCAAAGTCAAATAAATGTTAGTTCTTCAACATTGGCTTCGGAGAAACATATGTATATGCATGAACATTCGACGACGGGTTGGCTGATTTCCACTCTTAGTAGCGAAATGGACAGCTCATGTGCATGTCCTATTTCCGTACCTTTTACAAGTGTTCCTGGTTGGTTTGGAGTGCAAAATCAAGCCATACTTTTTTTTCTTTCCTTTCCATATTCTTCCAGTTCGATGGAGGTTTAAGTTCATAAGATATCTCGATAGAAAGTATGTGATAGATGCATAGGTAGGAGAAAGACTTGTCATTTTCAGAGTGCCATAATTGGTAGTTTTCGCATGCTTGATGGTCAGGTAGAGTACTAGAACTATAAGGCCTTGACTTACATGTAATATGCGCAAGTGACTATTGACTCTAGTATACCAAACCAGGTTTGGCAAGATCCCATTGCAAGTAGCCAATTACCAGTTGGTTGACTACTAGTACATGCACGCCTCTATTTTCACCGGCTTAAGTAATTCCTTTATTATATGACTATTACTCCATGAATTCGCGTTTTGTGATAGTTTATTTCTAGTTTAGCGGTATCATGACAAATTGACAATCTAGTTAAGTGGTCGAGTGATTGAGTCTCAACGATTCTCGCAGACACTTTATTTTTATTCTTTTAATGTCAATACTTAACAAGTTTATGCATATCATACCTAGTAATGATAACAAGTCTGTTCGGGAAACGGATAGTGCATATTCGTTACCTTATCCTAACTAGCTAAATTTTATTTTATCCATACCCATATTTATAGCGGATTTGGGTAGTAAGTTAAAATCATACTTACATATATTTGTTCAAGTTTCAGTTATTTATGGATATCAACGGATAATAGTATTTTTTTTTATCATTTCATCTAGTATGTTACTATTTGTCAGTATATTCACATTACACAAGTGAACAAATTACAATTATTAGCCACCAATTTTGTGAAAATAGTAAAAACGAACTAGAACCCATTGAGATGTTGTATATGTATAACAAAAGCCAAATATATATAGAGAGACAGAGAGAATGAAGATTTAATAAATTTTTTTTTATATATCTGCGTGTATCATCAGGCAATTTCGGGTTAGATAGTTGAAAATTATTTCTGCGAATTCCAAATAATTTTTGAATTCAAATTTTATCCATCTCATCAGCATTTGACTTAATTCGTTAGGATTTCACCCTATTCAATCATATCGGATTTGTGTGCTTAATTTAATCATGTTGGTGCTCGATATTTTTACCATCCTAAATATATATACTGCATTTATTAATGTATATCATTTACATGCTCAACATCAATATCAGCCGCATCTCCTCCTTGACGCATTGCATATAATTCCATTCCTCCATTATACCGCAGCTTCATCAAACAACATCGAACTATTCCAGCTCCAAAACAAATGGAACAATATACCTAAAAGCAATGTTTTCAGAACCGGAACGGATGTAGAACCGTAAAAGTTAGTGGTTGATTGTTTAACAGTTAACCGTTATAAAACTGTTGGTGAACCATTAATAGAACCGTTCAGACGCTATGACAAGTCATATACAACACAAAAATTTAGAAGTGAATTTATCACTAACCATAAACAATTTCAAATTCATAACATCTATCACCAAAAAATTCTAGCAAAACATTCAAACTATCTCACAAAAGAAATTACAATTTTTATTTCAAATTCAAGTTAGTAACCAGGATGACAACCAGTAATGAACCAAATAAGTCTGATAAGAAGACTGAGAAATGAAAAAAAGGAATCATAAATAAAATATGTGATTGAGGCTGGATGGTCTTAGTTTGCGTTGAAGTTTTTTTTATACATTTTTTTACGTTAAAATAGTAAACCAGTGGTCCAGTTAAATCGGGATTGTTCATCTGCATGGTCTCATGTGAAAGTGTTAAAAACCGTTTGGTCCATCCCGAACCACCCAATCAAATTAGCAGAATCACTATTGTAACTGGTTTAGTAGTTCTATTGGCCAATCTTTGATCCGGTTCGATTCTTATAACAATACTGAAAGAGAGGAAATCGTTTACAAGGAACAAGATAGAAAACAATCCGTCGTCTTTGTTGTTGTTGTATCTACTATAGTACCGTTAAGGAAGATGTGTTATTACCTTATTTTGGTATGAACTATGACCATATAATCAACTTTGGCCCGTGGTTTCATAAATTAACATCCTAGCCTCTACTATGCAACATTTAGACTTAATTGGCCCGATACATGGTTTGACCGTTAGTCAACATGTCATGTCATTGCCTCGTCAGCCTAAAAATCATTAAAAAATTAAAATTCAAATTATTTTCCTAATTTCTATTAGTTATCACTATAAATTAACCAAAAAAAAAATTATAAAAAATATATAATAAATTTTATTTTTTGGGTAATTTGAAAATGATAAATTTTTTAAAAGTAACCAAAAATTATCAAATTATTTAAAATTTATAAATTTTATTTTTTTGGTTAATTGGAAAATGATAAATAATAAAAATTAGAAAATAATTTGAATTTGAAATTTTTAATGATTTTTATGCTGACATGGCGTGTTGACTAACGGTCAACAGTGTTGACTGTCCAAATTGACGGTGAAACTATTTGTCGGGCCAATTGAGACTATATGCTATATAGTCAAAGTTGAGGCCATGATGTTAATTTCTGAAACCACATGTCAAAATTGATTATATAATTATAGTTCAGACCAAAATAAAATATTAACACAGAAAAAAATTAATTAGTACTCGATTGCTTCAAAGAAAATCTATACAAGTTCCAAGAGACACCCAACGGTCTCTTGATCTCTTCACTTTTTCGTTTCTGGTTCTGGGGATAGAGGTTGATCAGCTGATCATGTATGCAGTCCAAACATGGAACTAACCTACCTTGTTAGTTATGAGTTATGACAGTTTTTAAAATTAGAGTTATTATCTATTGTATATACATCCTAGGAGAATGAAACAGGGGGAAATGCAGAGACTTTGGCAGCAGTTTTCTTGATCTTTGAACCGATTGATTGTGGCCTTTTCAACTAATTATAACCGTCTAGATTCTTCCTATATCATAGATTAGATTTGGACTTGTTTGGAAAATTTCGTTTTCGTCCAAACCACCAACTCCATTAACCTGAAACAGTAAAATTGTTCTTTTAATTTCATGGACTGATTCTCTATATATAGAGAGAAAATTGGAATTTTTATTGGTATAGTAGGTTTCATATAGGTTGCATTACGTAAAATAAATTATGGAAGCATTATCCAATACTTTTGATTTGACTATTACATAAAAGATAACTATCATTTCGTATGAAATGAAATTATATTTTGGGTCATAGTTGTAAAACAGTAGTTGGTAAACCTCACGTAATGGAAGGTGATTTATGTAATAAATATAAACCCCACATTGGGTAAAGTGTTAAGTCATCACATAAGTCTACGTAACACTTTTGATTTAACTATTACGTAAGAAATAACTACTATATTAAAATTTTGATGTAATTTATGTCTATTTTACGTAACAAATTTAAAATGTCATTGCATAACTTGCTACGAAAAACTTCATAAACCTTCTAATTTTAAAATTATATCAGAAATAACTATTATCTTGTAAACTTTATATAATAGATGAGTATTTTATGTAAAACCCTCGAACCTTTTACATTATTTGAAAATGACTACGTGTCAAGTTAAACTTCATCATCTACATGCCCTGAAGTTCATCAACAATAATAATTCACCACATTCCAACAACCGAGTATGCAACCCTTGATTTGTATATTGGGAAGAAAACTAAACCAACCGTATTAATTTGTTTATTTATTGAACTGTAGTTGACATTAACACATGGTGCCCACTTCTCTAGGAAACCAAACTTGGGAAAGAAGGTGTAAGAATTTCAGTTTCCTAAGAAACCACCTCAAACCCCAAAATGGTTCCCCATACCATGAACCAGCTAGCAGGTGTGGTACTGTGGCGCGGCGGCACTTCTCAACATCAAACTCTTTCACATGCTCTTTTGAATTTTACAAACTTCTTCAAATTTACTTAAACCAATTAATTAAATTAAATTAAATTTCCCCTTTTAGTCAAGGCAGTCCTCCTCAAGAACTCTTCTACATAGTTGAGTGAAACCTTTATAAATTCCGCACCTTCCCCCTCCTCCTAGCTAGATAGATAAACCAGAAAAACTAAACCAACACCTTCTCCAGAAACAGTAATCACTTATATTATGGCGGCTGCACTCGTTCCCAATAGACCCATGTTCACAGCTGTTTTCTTCCTACTTCTGCTGCTCATTGTTCCCACGGATGCACGGCGGATGAAGGAGTCCGGGGCTGCAGGCAGCTTGGCGAGCCTGGTGAAAGCTGCAGAGACGAACAAGTCCGGGCCGAGCCCGGGAGTAGGGCACAAACACGGCGAGAGTAAGGCGATGATGAGAAGGGCTGCTGCCGTGCTTGGACAAGTCAAAGACTCGGGTCCTAGCCCTGGCCAGGGGCATTAATCTCTTTGCTTAATTAATTAGCTAATTAGTGTGTTATATGCTGGCTGATCATGTGATGATAATTAAATAGTTAATAATCCAGTAGTAGTAGTATTGTACACTATATATATGATGATGATGGTGATCATAACAGGAGATATTAAACATACGAATTAGGTGGTGGTCAATTGAGGTTGTGAATTCGTAAACCTCGAATTGGCAGCATATATTTATATTATTATATATGTGTGTGTTGTATTGTATGTTTATATCCTTACGCGCGATATGTTAATTACTGGATCTAAAACCTGGGCCTCGATCACTTGTTTTTCTTGTTCACTTCAGGTTCTATTCCCTCGGCACATGACAGATCTCGGAGTGGTCTAACCCTTCGATGCTGTTTGGGCTTCTTAGACAATTGGGTTGGGTCACTGGAGGAGTTAGAGAATTGTCGGTTTAAATTTATCAATCCCTAATGATGGTTGGACTCTGATTTTGTTTATGCGGTAGGGCTGAAAATTGGTCTCATCCGGTCTGTCTCGTTTTTTAAGGGTGAAGATGTATAACTGATTTTTTTCGTTTTTGTTTTTTTTTTTACCCTGTCTGACCCTCAAGGATTGAGACGGATCGGATCAGTTGGTCGATTCTAATAATACACTATTTTGTTACAAATTATGTTTTGGTACCCAAAATAATTTTTTCTTACAATTTAGTACCTAAAATTTATTTTTTTACAAATAAGTCCATAAATTTTGATGGTAAAATTACGTTTGGTACCCAAGTTTTTTTATTTTTACAATTTAGTACCTAAACTTTTAAACCTTTACAAAGAAACCCAATGTGATATGAGATATTTATTGTTGCTAAGGGTCACAGGATCAAAAAGTGACCCGTCCCTACCCGTCCCTAATTTAACCCTTTAGACAAACTGACCCTTATGGATCAGGACAGATCAGTGAGTCTTCCGGGTCAAGCTTACACCCCTACTGTGTGGGGCCTGATATCCATTTAAATTTTTCATACCATAATTATATGTTGGTTCTCTTTCAGAACACTTTTCATTCCGAATTTTCCGTTTTGAGTGTTTGTAGGAATGATAATTTTGCAAATTTAATTATTAAAAATAAAAAAATTGATAGATAAAAATATAATAAAAAAATCGGCACCATCCCCAAAATTCTAGTAATCAGCTAACTTACCACCATAGAAAGATATTAATCCGCTTACAAAAACCGGCATGAAATTATTAGGAAAAAAATTCTATCGAGAGTAGGTTTATGTATCTGAAGGACACTTCTTCATTTTAATGATTAACACTTCCACTCACAATTGGGTTTAAAAGCATATTAAAATAGTTTTAAGAATTTGTAAATTTAATTTATATATTAATTTATTTATAATAATAAATCTACTATTCAGTAGTAAATGTTTCATATGCTCACAATGTGTTGTAGATGCACCCTATCGATTACTAATACTAATAAGAAAATCTTAATTTCAAAACATTTAAAAAGAAGATATGAACAAATTGAGTATCGTGTATGACAAATCGAGACATAATGTCTCACATTGATCGAGAAATGAGCCTATAATTTGTCAATGTCCCATAAACCTATATCAAGACTATAGCCAAGAGACTAAGAATATTTAATAATAGGATGTTACCACAAATAAATTATTGAAGATATTGAATATAGTAAGGTACAAGACTAAGTTGATTTTACATAAAACATAATTAGTCGGACCAACAGGTGGTTTGCATTTAAGAAATATTCTATGCAGAAATCAACCAATCAACAAATCAATGATCCGATTCGATCTTCAAACCTAGAATGTAAGTACAAATATTTATCTGTCTCTGATTATATGCACTTGGCAATTTTATGTATATTCATACCCTCTATGATTTAGGGAAGATGAAAGTTATTTTACTCTTGCCTTCAGCTTTCCTCAAGTTAGCTTATGCTATTTCAAGAGTTTGTCGAGCTTCTTTTGGGTCAATGTATCACCAAAAAGTGTGGTTGACTCTGTTTAATTTGTTTTTGAAATGGCTATAAGCTTGTCGATGATATGACCATCCATGACACCACTTATCATTTTATAACCACTACAATTATTGTGATTATTTAACATTAAAAAATTAGTTCTTCCTACTTTCATAAATTAATTCAAGTAAGTCAAGGTTGAAGAATCGTCGACCAACAAACATATTAGCAAGATGGAAACGTGTTTTTATGTATGTCAAAGAGTGAAGAAATATCAAACTAAAGCTTTCCGAGTATATGTTCTTTAAGTTTGCATTGTTAAATTGCATACATTATCTAAACTATGATTCCGGTCCGAATATACAAGTTTTTTGTACTAATAATTAGTTGCGAAGGAAATGAAGTTAAACCTCAACATCAAACTCACCAACTAAAATATCAAGAACCTATTAGAGAGTCAAAGTTTTGAAGATAGGGAATAATTAAGGAGCTGATCTCACAAAATGTTCAATGTTAGAGGTAGTGGATCTGGTGATGGAGATAATGACGTCGTTGAGAAGAATGAATAGAATTTTAATGATGGAGATAAATGTTTCAATGACTACAAATAATCGATTATATTCCTAACTAAGATGACATAAATTCTTTCCACGTAAAAGTGGCGTATCATATATGTAAATATTTTATCATTAAATTTTTTTTTCAATGAAAATGCAGAAAAATAATGCTTAATGATGGAGGTAGTGAATCCAATATTGGAGATAATGATAGCTTGAATGTCGACACGAAGGAAAAGAATATTGATGGTGTAGATCATAGCTTTAGTTCAATTTGATAAGTTTTTTTTATTAGGATTCAATTTCTTTGTATTATTGTAGTTTTTAATATCAACATTACGTCAATAAATCATTTAAGATGTAAGAAAATTCTATGATGTATATTCATCTTTATCTTTTCAACAACTGAATAATTTGGATTCCTTTAACATATCATATAAAAATGTATATTATATTCGAATAATTTCTACGATACAATGTAGTTGTCTAACAGGCGGGCCTAATCTAGTACTTTTTACTTTTTAGTATCCATTTTAGTTTCTACTTTTAACACTAGAAGTAGGGACAAAGGTATGTATTATGTAGTTCATTTTTTATGTGTCGTTGTGGTTAATAAAACTTGGCAATACAACAAAGATTAATTTAATCATTAATCTATCTTTTATGAATTAATTAATTTTATATCATCAAAACAATCATTTTTTGGCAACACTGTCTGCCAAATGAGAACCATCAAAGTACTATAGGAACTCTATACATATTTGGAATTTGCTATCTATAGTTATTTCGAAACTACATCCATGAGCTAATTTCAACCGTGCCACAAATATGCAACTTCAACAACTCCCACCACCACTCGAACTTCATTTTTTATCTGCTCAATCAAGTCAGATGAGCTTCTTTTCACACCTACGTGCCTCAGCACACAACGCTCTCCCCAGATAGTACTGATCAAAGACAAGACGACCAATCTGCATATGTAAACTTTTCGCCTTGAAAACATCAATTGCCCATTTAAGTTCAACCGGCCACTCCAGTCATCCAATGGATTCCTGGGAAAGGAAGGAAATAGCAGACCTGCAAATAAACTTTTATACACAGAACATTCAACAAAGAGGTGTGTTCTGGTCTCAAGTGTATATTCATAGAAAACACAAGAATAAGATCCTGTGCCTCAACAATTAACTATTATATCACATGGCGATATATAGTTTTTAATCACCATCCAGACCAAAAACTAATTCCTAGGAATGGAAGGGCTTTTCCTGGGCGGTTTTCTTGGTCTAAAGTCTTGCCATGCTTCCTTGAGCTAAATTTTTTCAACACCTTTCCATTCCAAGACACCTCACCATTTGTGATAACCATCTTCTGCCTAATTCTATCTCTACTCTTTAGCAGCTTATGTCATAACCAAGAACCATTTATTGAAGTGAAGGTCAAAAAGTCATGGTTCTTCAATCTGTATTCCCAAATCCATGCGACCCATAGAGTTCCTTGACAAAGGAGAACAAGCGAAATTCCAGCTAGCTAGATCCCTTAGTCCCAATCCCCCTCGGTTTTTGGGAAGGTCAAATACTATCAAGTTGCTGTTCCCTTTTTCTTACCCCTCACCAACACCCCACAGGAAATCACTGCATAATCTCTCTATCTCTTTGATAACTGCTTTTGGGAGAACAAACACAGCCATCCAGAATTGAGACAAATTAGCCAAAACAGAGACAACATGTTCGTCCCAAAACATTCCCATTCGTTCGTCCAAAACATCGGGTCTGAATCAATCACCACCTGGGATCAAATCAAAGGTACAATTGCGTTGATTGTGTCCAATACGCCTGCATCGGAAACAAACAGATTTAATATTTTCATATCTTTTTGACACCCAAAAAGTTGGCCCAACCGATCCATCAACTGCCCTTTTCGTGCTTCCAATCGATGTTCCAATGGAGCAAATACGTCAATAAGGACTTTGGACTTGAACATTCTGCCCGGGTTGTCCCATAATGGGTACATTGTCGCATCTTCCACTGGTCCAAGTCTTGAAGCCAACAGTCTTCCCAATGCCACCGTTCGATACTCTTTCGGATGTCCCAAAGTTGAACATTGTAAGGAACCAGAGCGAGGTCAAGGAATAGCTGATGGGTTGGTTTCTCCCACTTCTTTAGGGCGAAGATCTTCGACTGGATGAACCATGGGGATTTGTTCAAGGCATCCTGGTAATCATCTTCGTTACCAAAGACAAATTGAAATAGACCATACCCAGCATCAAGGACAGTGACCATAACACGCTTAGCCCAGATGTTATTAGCAGTATGTTGCACCCTGATTCTGGAAGGATGTGAAGAGCAAAGGAGTCTGCTCACCAAGCTCATACGTGCCTTGTTCACTCCAGCACCTAAGACTTCATCCGTGAATTCAATTGGACCTGCCATAGTTGTGGGTAAGAGAGGAAAGTAACTCTCTGTTTTTCGTAGAAATATGCAGGGGACACATAGGAAGTTTGAGAATGACGAGAGGTTATTTGAGTACAGGCACAAATAATTCTTATGACAAGGGTAGAAATAGGACCCTAACATGAAACAGACAAATCTTGCCAATAAATTGCTTAATGGACCATTTGGTACTCTCATTAAATTGGCAGAGCGTAATTGGCCGAGAAAAGAGCTTCCTAAAATTATCCATAAAAGGCTCATACAAAAACGGTCAAGGTATTCGCCAGTTCTAGGGTCGTTCAAAAATGGGCAAAATCCAATAATAAATGGCACATAAAGTAGCTCGTTAATAACGGTAATGATACCCAACCATGACCCAAATAATTGGGATTGAAAATGGAAATGATTAATGCCCATAACAACACTTGCTGTTTTTTAGAGAATATTTATCCCTTCTGCCGATCCCTCAGCATAATTAAGACTCTTTAAAAATGAATTTAATACATGGGTGATCGGTTGCAGCTCTCCTCCTGATGTCGCCCCTTCCCAGTTGTGGTCGACTTCTCCTAAGGCCGGCCAGCTGACCCTAGGTCGCATCTCACGATGGCAGGTAAACCACTAATTCCGATAACAAAACCCTGACAAGAGATAAATATACGGAAGAGAAATCAAAGATGACACGCTAGGCGGAAACAGAAACAAGAAAAGATAATTAACCAAAATCTGAAGGAACAACAGACTAAGACTAAGGCCGGATACGTTATATCAAGGATACCGTACCGGCGGTTCGACCTGAAAAACTTTTTACCGGAAGCAAAACCAATAGGCGGTATTTAGCGGTTGAACCATTGTTAAACCACAGTTTTAGCATAAAATACCATACCGCTAACTTTTTCGGTACGACCTCCGGTACAGTATTTCAATCCTTGCGTTATATACCAAATGAACCAACGACTAGAAAAATAGACAGTGCTTCCCGCCGGATACGTTCAGCAAAAGAACTCCGACCATGAAAAGAACCACCGGCAAAATATAGCCAGTGCTTCCGTTCGGCTAAGATTCCCTCCATCAAGGAAACATATTACTTGGCTTTGGCTGGGCTGATTTAGCATTCCCACCGGACACTCTAGGATGCGGAAAGCTTGGCTCACTTATGCTCCTGGATCTTCAAGCCATAGCCACGAGGATCTCCTCCATTTTTCCAGCAAGCTCCTCCTTCTGGCCGCCGACCACCCAAATTTGCCTCCTGGTCGACGCTCGCCGCACGGCAAACCATAACGACCCGTCGAAGACTGCTCTCTGTCTGTGGAGGTGTTGTTGGACGTTCACATTGAAGGTGTCGACGCAGTCCTCGGTTGCGTAAATCCGGCGAAGGAGGTCTTTGTCTTTCTCAAGCTCTTCACTGCCGATTAGGGATGGCAATACCCACTCATGGGTAATTATACCCAAACCCAAGTAGACCCATTAATAATGGGTTGAGTATGGGTGGAGTGTATATGGGTTTGGGGAGTTTGTAGATGGGTTTGGGTAAGATATGAATATTGCTTCCATAATCTAAATGGGTATGAGTTGGATATGGGTATCCATTTACTTGAGGATGTTTTAACTACACATGCAAAATTGGACCTATTTGTAAAACTTGAAAAATTTAGGTACCAAAATGTAAGACCAAAAAAATTTAGGTACCAAAACATAATTTTCCATCGATATTTAGAGGACTTATATGCAAACAAAATTAAATTTAGGTACTAAATATGCATATCTATTAAGTTTAGGTACCAAACTGTAATTTGTATTTGGGCATGAGTACAAACCCAAATCCATTTGTTATAAACCCAACCCAAAGTAAATGGGTATGGATACAAACCCATCAAACTCTACCCATATCCATCTATTTGGATTTCATACCCAACCCAGTTGAGTTGGATAGTTAAAAACCCATGTGTATGGGCAAAATTGCCATCCCTACTGCCGATCTCTTGATTGATGGTCTCTTGATAGAGGAGACAACATGAATTTCTAGTGGGAGATGACCACCTGCTGCAACTTGGTAACCTTATTTGATTGACTCAATAATATTATAGGCGTTGATTGGTAAGTAGTATCTGAAACCAAACCATCTAAATCAAACACGATAAACATTTAACCAAACCAAATCAAACCAAATTAATTATCCAAATTAACTAAACCAAATTATCCAAATACTATCAGTTAAAACGGTTACTATAGTAATCACTCTGAGTAACCACTCTGTTTGAAGTTTGAACACACCTATTATTACATAAGAGGAAGAGCAGGTGACGGAGCGAGAGGGAGAACGAGAAGGAGAATGTGGATGCGAAGAGGACGATTAAGAGCATAGTGATGTTGTTGATGTAGAGTTGGAGTAGTTCATTCTTAACCTGGTGCCGGCATCCGACAATGATTCGTCTTGGAGAAGGTGAAGCGGTCATTGAGCTCCGCCCTTGGTTGGCTAGTGGCGAGAGAACAGTTGGAGCTTAGAGAGGTCATCAAAGATGATGATTGGAGGGACCTAATACAACGGCCAACAGTTTAAACTTTATAAGCTGTACAGGCTCTTTCATCAATTTTTCTTTGACACATCTAAATATTTGTGCCTAATCATCATATGTAACATCTAATAGTCAAACAAGATGAAGAGACACGAGGTTTAACGTGGTTTCCCTGAATGTCAGGACTAGTCCACGGAAGAGCCGTAGCTCTCCAAAATCAATCGTATTAGGTTAATGTAGCAGAGATACACAAAGCAAGTTATATAGGGTTACACGTTTGACCTAATGACTAAGGCTTGCCTATTTACAAATTGATACCTAAACTTTAACACCCTCCCTCAAATTGAAGTTGGGTGCGCAACATCAATTTGGACGATAGGCACCAATGTCTGCTTGACGCCAAAGCCTTAGTCAAAATGTCTGCAGTCTGATCTTCAGTTGACAGATAACTCAACTTAATTTTTCCTTCTGCCACCAGTTGCCTGATGTAGTGAACGTGAACCTCTATATGCTTTGTTCTATCATGTAACGCCGGATTGAGTGCAATTTGTAAGGCGCTTGTGTTATCACCATACAACTGCATGGGAACTCTACAGTCCACTCCCAACTCAATCAGTAATCTCTGTAACCAAACCAGTTCAGAGCTGACCTCTGACATCGATCGATACTCAGTTTCTGTAGATGACTTCGATACTCTATCCTGCTTCTTACAACGCCAAGAGACAAAAGACTGACCTACACGAATGCACCAGCCTGAAGTAGACCTTCGAGTGTCGGGACAACCAGCATAGTCTGCATCAGCAAAAGCCTCAATTGTTTTGTCACCAGAGGACGGAAAGAAAAGACCCACGTCTTGAGTTTGCTTAAGATATCGAAGTATCCGGTGAACATCATCTAAATGCTGTTTTCGTGCAACTCCCAGAAACTGACTGACCACCTGCACAGAATAAGAGATATCTGGTCTTGTATGAGTTAAATAAATCAAACTCCCTACCAGGCTGCGATATAGAGATTGATCTTCCATTAGGTCACCACTATCTCTTCTCAATTTCAGGTTCTGCTCCATAGGAGTAGCACACGGATTGCAATCAGTATACTGAGCAGTTGCTAGCAGATCTCCTATGTATTTCTTTTGTGACACCATAATCCCCTGCGAGGATCTCTGAACCTCCAATCCAAGAAAATATGCCACATCCCCCAGGTCCTTGAGCTTAAACGCCTTGTGGAATGCCTTCTTCAAATCCTGAATACCTTCCTGATCACTACCAGAAATTATCATGTCATCCACATATATTAACAAAACTACCACACCATCCACTGTGTTTCGCACAAATAATGATGGGTCATTATGACGTTGATCAAACCCAAGCTGCACAATGACTCCATGAAATTTCTCAAACCAAGCACGAGGTGCTTGTTTGAGACCATATGGCGAGCGAGTCAATTTGCAAACCATATCTGCCGAACCCTTTGTATATCCAGGAGGTCTCTCCATGTAAGTTACCTCCTTCAGATCCCCATGTAAGAAGGCGTTCTTCACGTCTAGTTGATACAACGGCCACTTCTTCATTGCTGCCACCGCAAACACACATCGAACTGTTTGCATCTTAACTATTGGCACAAAGGTTTCATTATAATCAATCCCGTATTCTTGAAGAAAACCTCTTGCAACAACTCTAGCCTTGAACCTCTTTATAGTATCATCCGGGTTCATCTTAATGTTATATACCCATTTGCTGTCGATCACTGACATATCAGGTGTTCTAGGTACCATTTCCCATGTGTTGTTTGCCTCCAACGCATTAGTTTCTTCTTGCATAGCCTGCTCCCATTCCGGGTGTCCAACCGGTTGAGCATAGGTGGCGGGTATGAACAAAGGTGTTGTAGCAAAACCCACGTAGTCATTCAGCCACACAGGAAGTTTACCTATGTTGCTGCGATTTGATCTCATTAGCATAACACCTCCTGTATCCTGTGATATTACATCCACACCATTCGACCTAGAGCTAGGCGACGATGAGCCCTCACCCGACAGCAGCGGCGAATCCGAGCTTGAAGACGACGATCTCGAGATCGAACTACTATGAGGACCTGGAGAATGCGAGGAATGGCTCGAACTCGACGTCGAATGCGAGGAAGAACCCGCAGCCGACGTTTCAGATGACGACGAGGAAGAAGTACCATCCACCGTCGAGTTCCCTCCCTGATTTCCTGGACCATCAACCGTTGAACCATCACCAAATTCAGGTACAAAGTTCAGGAAATCCAACGATGCCGAGTGAGACTGCTTGTCCTGCTCTGAAATAGGATAGTACATAACATTCTCCAAGAAGAAAACATGATATGCAATACGCATTCTCTTGCCAATCGGATCATAACAGTAGTACCCTTTGTGCTTATCACTATAACCCACAAACACACATTTCACAGTCTTAGGCGCCAACTTGTGACGTTCACCACGAGGAAGCAGAACAAAACATGTACACCCGAACACCATTAGCCGAGAATAGTCAGGTGACTTCGAGAATAATGCCTGATATGGAGAAATCTGACCCAAGACCGGAGTAATTTGACGATTGATCAAATGAAGCACGGTATGAACAGCTTCAACCCAATAGCCACTAGGAACGTCAGAATGAAATAGAAGTGCTCTAGTCAGTTCAAGTACATGTCTGTGCTTCCGTTCTACAAACCCATTTTGCTGAGACACACCTGGGCAGGAGAGTTGGGACAAAATCCCTTCTGACTTGTAGAAATCAAGAAGTTCGTTCTTAATGAACTCACCACCTGTATCCGATCGAATGATCTTAATCATCTTCCCAAACTGAGTCTTAATCAGCTGAACAAACTCCTTGGCCAAGGAACATAGTTCTGATTTCCTGCGCAGAAAATAGACCCAAGCATAACGAGTCTTGTGATCTATAAACAAAGCAAAATACATGTACCCCATCCGGGATGTCACCGGAGAAGGACCCCATAGATCAGTATGAATTAAGTCAAACGGTGCTTCATAAACTGTCTCACTAGAAGCAAACGAGTTTTGAGAAGCTTTTGCTTCAATACAACTCAAACACTCAGACTGTGAACCAAGAGAGTGCTCAAATTTCCCAGGCAACAAATTCTGACGAAACATTGTCAACAAACGAGCCGAATTAGGGTGACCTAATCGGCAATGCCACAAATCCCAAACTGAATATTTCTTGTTCAAATGCAAATCAACCGAATGAACACAAGAATCCATAACTACATTATTCAATGGAGCTTTGATCATCCTGGACTGCACCAAGTCGGCAGCTGCTACGTCCACACCCCCATGCTGCCCATGCGCACGTACACAACCATTGGAGCTCCTGTCATCACTCGCCACAGCAGCCGCATCATGCGCAACAACCTGCTTCCCCAGTTCATCCAGAACGAACAAACGTCCATGCTTACTTCCCTTCCCGATCACCTTCCCCGTCATCTTGTCCTGTACCACACAACCGGAGGAATTAAACGTAACATTGCAGCCATGCTCGGTCAGCTGACCAACCGAAACCAAATTAGGAAGCAATCGGGGGACGTAAAGAGTGTCCGGGAGATTAACAGATGGAGAAGAGGCAACACCCCGACCACTAACCGGAACAATATCACCATTTGCTACTTTGAGAGTTATAGGTGGAGCAGGATCCAACTTTTGAAAAAACGAACACATAGGTGTCATGTGGTTAAACGCGGCCGAATCAAGTAACCAGCGAGGAGACTTACCCGACATAACACCCGTAGCAAAGGCCGAAGACAACGCAGCTTGAAGTGCCTCCTGTACCATACGCTGAACCATCTCGGGACTAAATGAGGAACCCCCAGTACCTGCAGAAGAAGATCCACTCAGAGCTGCCGGAGACGATGACACGACATAGGCGGAGCTGGCCCCTCGAGGCTGATAACGCTGGGCAGCAGAAGTTCCAGCAGATGCCGAACCATAATTCGGAAACCGAACCTTGCCCCGTCTTGTCAACGGAGGACATTCCAGCACTATATGTCCAGCTTTCTTACAATAATTATAGTAGTTTCTTTTCTTGCAATGTATCTGGACATGTCCCGATTCCTTTCAAAAATGACAAATAACCTCGCTAGAGCTCGGTTGGCTGAACTGTGGGCGAGTAGCCTTGCCCGATCGACCAACAGCAAATACAGATTCCGAGGACCCCCCATCAATCTGAGCTTGACTCTTAAGGCGGGTCTCTTCGCGGATTAATTCCGCAACCAACGCATCTAGATCAGTGATGCCGCGATGGATCAAGGACGCCCGAATGGGCTCAAAGTCAGACCGCAACTTCATTAGGAACTGCATAACGCGAGTCCTTTACCTCTCCTTCTGAACATCAGCCGAGGCATCCCCAGATAGAAGATTCGCCGTAACAAGACCATATTCGGTCCATACATGTAGACAATGCTTATAGTAACCCCTAACGTCCCGATCACCTTGAGCGAGACCTGCCATCTCCAATTCCAGCTCATACAAAGGCGAAGCGTTAACCTGAGAGTACGTAGCGCAGATATGACGCCACATGTCAGAGGCGGCGGTGAAGCGACGGAGACTCAGCGCCGTCGGCACATCAACGCAGGCCAAGAGCGCCATCACCACCTGCGCATTGAGTGCCTCCCATTCCACACGCTGCTGTGCAGGAGCCTCTGCCCCTGGTGATTTCAATTCCCCCGTCAAAACAGAGGTCAATTTCTTGCCATCTATGAAGTTCCGAAACTGGAACTCCCACAACGCTCCATACTCGCAAACGCCAAACCTAAACAAAAAACCAATCCTAGTGCATACCCAATCAAACTCGCGGATAGCAGCGATCAACAGCGCCGCACAAGCAACAAAAACCCGAGCTGAGCAAACTAACCTGCTGCGCCAATGACAAACCTTCAAGCTTCGGATCAGAAGGGCTCTGATACCATGTCAAACAAGATCAAGAGACACGAGTTTTAACGTGGTTTCCCTGAATGTCAGACTAGTCCACGGGAGAGCAGTAACCCTCCAAAGTCAATCGTATTAGGTTAATGTAGCAGAGATACACAAAGCAGGTTATATAGGGTTACACGTTTGACCTAATGACTAAGGCTTGCCTATTTACAAATTGATACCTAAACTTTAACACTAATGGAGTCCACTTTCAACTCATTTCCCGTTTGATGAATATATAACTCAGTAAAATTAGCAGTTGGATATTTGATGCTAGTGAATTGCACAATAGAGGGCAGCAAATTGATATCCAATTGAAAACACTCATCATTCAATTCCGATTGATAGATTTTGTCACTCATAGAAATAAAGTGAAAGATAACATTGTAGATCCTTCTGCATGAAAGAATATATTTTACAAATTTTCTCGACGCTAATAAAACCTTCTTGATTGAGTGAGAGATTGATTTTAATCCATTGAGACAAAAATATAAATGTATGCATATGGGGTTTTCCTATCACTTATTTTACCAACTGAGCACAAGCTTAACAAGTCTCTATTTTCATTCCTATTATTGTCTCCCGCGCTAATGTAGTAAGCACATAAATTAAAGAACTTGTTATTTTCTAACATCACAATATAAGTATTTTAGTCCACATAGTTCAAAGTAGTATAGACAAAAAATTACATTGTTGGTGCTTTCAGTAAACGACAGAGAGTTATTGAACGAAAAAACAAAGAAAGAGGGTTGCTCTCTGACGTCTCATTCTTCAATGTGCAACGAACTTGACATGAAAAATAAATACTAGTTTGATATTTTAAACAATTAAATTTTGGATTCAATTTATTTTCTATTATGATTTTTTCAAGCATTTATAATTTACTATAAAACATATTACAAAGTAAAATAAAAAACTAGTTTTTTATTGATTATTTTATTTTGTGAAAAATAACAATGTAGGGTTTATGCATAAAAATCTAATTTATATAGAAATTAGAGACAGTGTTTTAAAATTTAGTTGAATTTCAAATGATAAACTAAAGATAGTGGTCAAAAGAAAATCGTAGGGCTTACTAAATTCTATTTGGTTAAAAGTTACTCTATACCCGCCATAACCTGAGTTAAAGAACTCCGTCAACATTTTTATATATTTATGAAAGTAGTGTCCCCAGTAAATAAAATAGAACCACATTCTTTCCTTGAAATTATACGTAGGAGGTGGAAATGATAGTTTTGAATCAGCAAATAAATAACTTTGTTAGCTTCTAGTGAAGTGTCTCAAGTTAATTTCATGTCTAATTGTGTGAACACTCTTAAGTGTCAATTAGCCTAGCACACAAGGCATTAGTATTCCCGCCATCTAATAACTCCTAATCCTTTTTTCGTAGTCAAGGTTGTCAACTCGCGGGTCGATCGGACCTGGTCGAATTAGTGAGTCAAGAGTTAATGGGTCACCCGTTTTAACCCAATTTAGTCCGATTTAGCTCGGAAATATGAAAAGAATAATTATATTATACTTATCTTGAATCGAACCTAGAAAAAAATACAACACTACTTAAACTTCAACACATTTAAATAACATCAACTTAAATTCAACATAGTAAAAATTCAGCGACACTTCTGAACGAGAGCCCGCTGACCTGTTCGAATGGGTCAACCGCCAGAGTTTTTTCCGGATTTGACCGGATTTTCCCGGGTTTGACCATTTTCGTGCTAACTCACAAATGGACTATTCTAGCCCGTTTCAGGAGCGGGTCCGGACCAACCCGAGTCAATTGACAACCTTTGCTCGCAGCAGACCATTTTAACCTAGACGTGGTTGACAAGAGAAAGCGAAAATCAATTTGTGGACTTCTTGACATCCGGATTCGGTTGGTGGATGAGTGGCCGGTCGACGAATCCTCCGTCTTTCATTTTCCCTTGTTGGCTGCTAGTGGTACGTACTCCAGGGGTCCACTTCCCTTGGCCGTTTCGTTTGTGGTCGTGGTTTCTTTGTTTGTTAGTAATTTTTATACATGCAAGGAAGTGAAGTGATAGGATGCTTGTTCTCTTTTTGTTGTCTGAACTTTGTGCTATAAAGACCTTGGGGTATAACAAGAGCATAATATATACATATTCTTTTTTTTTTCATAATACAATTCTTATAGTGGTGGTACAAACTGACATAATTAGACCTATTTTAGTTAAAATAGTGTATTTAACGCGAACTGCCTACTAATTACTAAATCAATAAATTATTTATTTCATTGAATTTGATGAATATTAAACGGCATAATATATTTGATGTAACTGTATGAAAATCGAATATAAATTATTTCCATGAGTCCACTGAAAATTTCGTTTATTAATTTACTATAAATATGATAATTTAAAATTTATAACATGGAAATACTCTTTTTTACCTAGTTAATTAATATATGGACCACTTTAAAGTTACTATATGTTCCACTTTAAAGTTTCTTGTCGCGCACTTTTTTCACTTTGGACATATATATTTGTCTCAATATTCCCTTACAAAATATATATTTTCATCATAACTCTTCAATTTTTGCCCATTCTCGTCAATCTCACTTTTCAACCAAACAAAATTTTCACTCAAACTCTTAAATTACGTGAAAATAAGTAATGTGAGTGAATTTAAGTAAATTTGCATAAATATTTTTTTTTAGAATTGCAGAAAAAATTAACTTTGGGAACATTTCTATCACTTATTGCCAACTTCATTGAGCTCCTAACATATCATAGTAGGTTTTCCTTCTATTTCTCGTCGATCTATGACATAAATGAGTGTATTTTGGAAATAATCTTTTTCATTTTAGCACTCCACTTTTTGATAAATACAACATTCACACGATCATAAAATGAAAAAAAAAACTTCGGGACATTTCTATCGGTTATTTTGAACCTCTTTGAGCTTGTAACATGTCAGAGTAGCTCTCTTCTACTTCTCATCATTTTTTACTTATATGATTGTATTTTGGTGTTAATCCATTTTTTATGAACCCTCCACTTTGAAATGAACACGAGCAATCACACACTCATAAAAATAAAATTAAAAAATTGACGGAACAAATGAATTTTTTTTCATCCCTAACACAAGAATCCTAATTCTCCAATCCTTAATATATTGATATGCTGCAATTCATGCACGAGGACTATTTAAGTTCGTGTTGCCAATACGCTGTTTCCACTCAACTCCATTAGCAATTTCAACAATTCAAGCCCCAAAATTTACCCCTTCTTCTCTCCCAAAGTGCCAACAAGACTAAATCAGCCATGGCGCTCCATAACGAAGAAGAAGAAGAAGAAGAACCCCACGTCCTAATGGTAGCATTCTCAGCGCAAGGACACCTCAACCCAATGCTCCGACTCGGCAAACGCCTAATCTCCCACGGCCTCCACGTCACCATCGCCACCACCCACCTTCAACCCGGCCGCCGCCTCTTCAAACCCTCCTCCTCCTCCACCACGGCCCGCGACATCGAGTTCCTCTTCTACTCCGACGGCCTCGACGGCCGTAAGGTCGACCTCGACACCTTCATGGACTCCTTGTCCCAACACGGGCCCACCAACCTCACCAAACTAATCCACCAAAATTACCATACCGCCCCCGCGGACGCTAACAACAGCACCGGCACCCGCAAAACGCGGCGGCGGCGGCGGCTTTGCTGCATAGTCAGCAACACTTTCGTCCCCTGGGCAGCCTACGTGGCACACGACCTCGGTATCCCCTGCGCCATGCTCTGGATCCAGCCTGTCGCTCTCTACGCCGTCTACTACCGTTACTACCGCAACCTGAACCCGTTCCCTACCTTAACGGACCCCGACCTGACCGTCAACCTGCCCGGGCTGCCCCCGTTGCGAACCGAGGACCTCCCGTCCTTCGTCCTGCCCACCAACACCTTCGGCGCGTTCTCCAAGCTGTTCTCCGAAATGTTCGGAGCCATGGAGAAGCACGCGTCGTGGGTTTTGGCGAATTCGTTCCACGCGCTGGAGGCGGACGTCATCATCAACTCGTCGAAAGATCTCTTCCCGGTCGTCCCCGTGGGCCCACTCGTGGACCCCTCGCTTCTGGGGAAGGGAGAAGAGGAGGAAGCGGACGGGGCGGTCAACCTGTGGGAGGTTGACCACTCCTGCATGGAATGGCTTGACGAACAAGCAGCCGGGAGCGTGGTGTACGTGTCATTCGGGAGTCTCGCCACGTTATCGGCCGACCAGTCGGCCAGCCTGGAGATGGCTCTGAAGGAAGGGAGGTGGCCGTTCGTTTGGGTGGTGAAGGGGACGGAGGCCGGGGAGCTGTCCTCGTCGAGCGGAGGAGGACAAGGAATTGTGGTGGCGTGGGCCCCACAGACGAAGGTGCTGGCACACCGGGCGGTGGGATGTTTCGTGACGCACGGCGGGTGGAACTCCACTTTGGAGGCGGTGGCGGCGGGGGTGCCGATGGTGGTGTATCCTCAATGGTCGGACCAGCCGACCAACGCGAAGCTTGTGGAGGATGTTTTTGGGGTGGGAGTGAGGGTTAGGGCAAATGGAGACGGGAAGATAGTAATTGGGAGTGAGGAGATGGGGAGGGCTATACGGGAGGTTATGGATGGCCCGAAGTCGGAGCAGATTAAGGGTAACGCGAGGAGGTTGAAGATAGCGGCGGGGGAAGCCGTGGCCGGCGGCGGAGAAGGGACGTCGGAGGTGAGTGTGAGGAAGTTTGTGGACGAGATTATTGGGAGGTCGTGTTCTTCGAGTGGGCCATGTTGTGGTAGGGAAGGGATTAGTTAAAAGAAGTGGCGAGTATTATTTGGAAAATAACGGTGTACATAATGTGTATTTGTATGTGCATAATAATGTGTATAAGAAAAATATACATCTCACAACAAAGTAATTAGTCGGTGTTAAAGTTTTATTCCTCATATCGCGGGACATTCCATATAGAGTCGGAGTGCATGGTTTATATGATCGTATAAACTACTTATTCTGACTGTTGTAATTGATGGATTGTCCAAACATAATGAATTATCAGTTAAAGATTAGTCTAAACATCGAAAATCAGCCGTTAATGTATTATGTATAACTTTCATTCACATATCTTATACATAAATTTCGAATACAGACTTTATAAACCACCACAAGAAAAATGACTTCAAAGCCATCTACGAGGACATGAGTGAAGATTAGACAAATGAAATATCACGAGTGTATATGATCATTTTAGAAATTTAAAACATAGATATTTTATAGAGGTAGCCCAAAATACAATAAAGAGTTGAATGTCTTAAAGTAGCTGCATATTTCTAACACCAAAGACGGCAAAACAATAATATATATTGTGTGCTTGGTTGGGAAATTAGTCTGCATTAAATCGAACTATCATAAATTTATAAAATTACACGTGAAAATCTTAATACTTCAAAAAATCTTATTATTTTTAAATAAATGTTTTACAAATAATATCGATTTTATGCTTGGAGAATGCCCAGAGAATATGGTCTAAGCTAGTTCATATACACGTCAGTCAGAGTAGGCAAAACATAGTAATGCTTCCTTGGTAACTGTTATAATTTTTTTTTTCCATAGATATCCCGGGAGGAATAGCAAGGTACGAGAATATACAAAACCAAAAAGGTCAAAGTCAAAGGGAAAAAATTAAAGCGCGATGATCAACAAGCTGCTGAATCATCGATGAGAGGGCCTGTTTCGCCACGATATGGGCAGCCCTATTGTACCTACGAGGCGCGAAATGAAACGAAACACGCCGGAGAGATGATCGTAACACCTGAACCTCCTTCAGAATGGCATCTCCCAAAGCGCGAGCCGAATCGTTCGCGTTGACCATCCGAATGAGCACCTGCGCATCACCACATAAAAGAATATTAGTTAGAGAGTGAGAGATGCACCAACGCATAGCATCACGAAGAGCCATCAATTCCAAAAGAAAGGGATCCGAAACTCCCTCATAGAATCTGCCAAAAGCAAGGCTCACGTCCCGATGTCCAGTGATGCCAACAAATCCAACTCCTCCTCCAAGTGATTGTTGCGTGGTTCCATCAAAATTAACAAGGACTGAATTCTCGGGAATAGCGGGGGGGGGGGGGGGGGGGGGGGGGTACATGGCTCCGGCCAGCAGTAGGGGAGCTATGTTGGCTTCTTGGACGAGCTCCAATGACAGGGTTTGATTGAGCCAGTAACTGTTATAATTTTTTGTTGATACGATATTGTAAGAGTTCATTATTATTAAAAAGTGATGATTAACTTGACAATTGGCTTTAATAACACTTTATTTAGGATAACACCTTTGCCAACACTCTTCTCATTAGGCACGAGTAGCAATCCATAGAATAGGAGGAGAAGCCGTGTTGGAGCTAGACACGGAAGGATTCATCATCGATGCTTTTGTCAATGGTGATTTCGTTCCACTCTCCTTTATATTGGCTGTCGATCTGTTTAGGGATATGAATTCTATAATAACTGTGTATTACTTTCTATGAGTTAGTAAGAAGCTTATCTCGTTCTATGTTATGATCATCGATGCTTGGTGCTTTGGATGCTTTATTGTATTCGCGATGCTCTCATCCTCTTTTTGTGTATGATCATCGATACTTTATTTCATATGATGTTTTAATACTCTATGTGTGTGACCCTAACATGATGTTACTATAGTCATTGTTTATACTACTATTATGGGAAACAAGGAAACTAATCTCGTGTAGTAGGCATCCTTCTTAGGCACGTATAGGAGGATTAATTACCCTTCTGTGCATGGCTAAGGAATATGCTTGATTCTTAGATCATCAATGTTATAGACTAAATTTATGTTTCGTATAAGCCCACAATTTATTAGACTAACTTCTTTATTCTTCATTGATTAGGTGATGACATAAAGCGTAAGCATGCTTGAGCTAGTCAAGTCTCTATCGCAAGAGGCGCATGCACAGAAAGAGAGTGGCATTAGAGGAAGGGATAGGGCATCATTGTAGAAGATGGATAGATGAATCTTATTTAGAAGATCGTATGGATGATGATCTAGGAGATACCTCAATATTACTTGATTGCATCCTTGTTTGTTTATTTTCTTGCATTAGTAGTGTAGTACACTAGTAGATGGCACCTCAACCCATTTAGGTTTACTTTCTTGCATTGCATGCCTCGAATACATTAGGTTATGTTTGAGTAGTTGCTATGAAAAGACGATGGGGAATATGACCCTAGCACCTCTAGGAATTTTTCACTTGAATACAACATCAAGTTTTTGGCCATCCCCCATAAATGCATACTCCAGGTGACCGTGAGGGGCTTAAGCTTCGGCTCGGATGGATCCCCTAGAAATGTGGAGATCCGTGGAGAGTGGGGATCGATTTGAATGGATTCTCGTGCTCATGGAACATACCTCCATTTAATGCTGACAACTGCTCCTTTAGCTCCGGCTTTGTGATGCATGTTTCCATAGTAAAAGACAACACTAAAGGGGATCATTAGTGCTCGCACTCGTGATGGCAAGTGCGGTCTCAAAATAAGCAATGACATCACAGTAGTCAAGATCAATATGCAGGTGGAAATGCTTAAGATTGTCACCAACAAAAAATGTAACTTGTTCTCCTCCAGCCCGCAAAATCAACTTGTCACCATTCACATCTATCAATGCGTTGACGATGACAAGATAGGGTCTACCATAAATCAAAGGCACATCAACATCCTCATTTATATCAAGTATCACAAAATCAACATGATATATGAATGGCCCGAATGTGACAAGCAAATCTTTTGCAATACACTTAGGATGCACAATAGAATGATTAGCCAGTTATGAAACACCCTAACCCAGCCGGGTACTGATTTTACCAAAATGCCCTTGATGACTCATAAACCAAAATAAGAAACGAAAGACTTGTAAAAAGAAATGGAAGCTTTCCATATATAACCATAACATATACTGAAGTGCATTGAAATCTCTTAAAACAAAGCCCTAACACTTGGGCAAACCTCAACCATAGAATCTTATTTTGAATCTCCGGTCACTACTCATAATCGTAAATCAATACTTAAAAAAATACTCAAAGCAAATACTTGGATAAAAAACTGTAAGGCGTACAATTTACTGCCTTTACACTCACCTTATATGCATCTCCAAACCTCGAATTAAAGCTGTTGGATCTTGGTGTCATTATCTCCAGAGACTACAATTCCACGCTCCACGTAACAGAATTCTGAATTAGAGAACCCATCTAGAATATTGAGCAGCATGGCATCGATCTTCTTTAGGGCTGGGACATTGACAAAAAGGTCTGACCGTGGCTGTGGTACCATGATCTCGAAGGTTCCCCCACCAGGGAAGTTCTGGACCGATGGAACTAGCTCTACAATGGAATCGCTTATACATAAAAACCATTCCACGCTTGGTACCAGATTGCCTTCTTTTGAGGTGATAATGGTTGCAACTCCCACAGTTGGCTAAATACAGAAGCAGAGAGATTAGTTATGGCATTGGATATTGCTAGAGCAGTGGAAACTCCATTTCCTCCACCTGACATGTCTTCTCCAAGCATAAGCTTGGCGAATATATCTTTCATTAGTTCAGTTTCTGACCATTCCGACTCCGGTTTCTCTGCCTTCTTCGTCGGAATCAACATGTGCCTCCCGTCGATCACCAGCGGCATCAGAGTAACCGGCGGCGCGTACACCTCGTCGTCCAACTCAGGCGCGTCACGGAATGGTGGAGCGAGCGAACAAGACGTCATGAGGAGAGAAGTGGAATCTCTTCCACGACGAAACACTCCCCATTTCTCCTCGACCAGGGCAATTGCTACCGTGTCCGCAACTGCAGCAGGGCATTGCAAGAGGGCGTTTGTACACGAAAAGACTCAATGGAAGTTCAATTAGAGGAGAAAGAATGTCGGCTCTTCAGTTCCAAGCTCGGCTGATTGAGAAGTAGGGTTTAATTGGTAGTGGTGAGGCCGAGTTAGTTATGGGGTTTCGGGTTAGCTTAGGTTTTAATTAGTTCAAGGGGTGTTTTGGACATTTCATAAATTACGGGTGAGTTTAATCCGAAACTCAACTAAAGTCCGTAACTTACTCGATTTATGTTGAAACTCGACACCGTTTGAATCAAGAGTTGTCATTTTAGTCCTCATCGATAATACGGTGGAAGTTGACCCAAGGGTATAGTAGTCATTTTGACTTTTGGAAAGAGTGGGGTGTAACATTTCCTCCACCCTTATAAAAATTTTGTCCCCGAAATTTGATCGTGCTCATCCTTCCATACTCCTCATTCTCGTGCTTCTTTGGCTCAAGATTTCACTCTTGCTATATGAACTTCAATGGTGCCCTTACCTTGTCTTGAATAGCTTACTATAGTTCTTATATGTAGTCTTCACCATAACAAGTATTCTCTTCTATCTCGGTAGCATCGAATAGGTTTGCGTGACTCATTTCCCTTTTCAAAATTTTCCAACTTGGGCCCACGGTGTGATGGGACCAAATTTCGGCTCAATTTATTCGGTCCAACTGATTCAGTACTTGATGTTGAACCTAAATCGAAGTCGAGGTATCACATTTACTCCTCACTTACGAGAATTTCACCCTCGAAATTTGTTCTTTGTGATGACCCCAAGTGTCGCTTGTAATACTTCTCTTTACAAGGAATTGTACCTCCTTAACTTGTGGGACACTGAGCTATACATCCTTCCCTTTGATATGATGTGGTTTTAGAAGATTGGTAGTTCAACCATTCCTCGTAGACAACTTGCCTAGCTAGCTATTAGTTCGATACAACTATGAAATTCTCCACCCATATACGTCTTCGATGTTGTGGTGATTTACTCAAAACATCTTGTGATCACCGCGGTTTCTCAAGATCCCCCCTTACAATTTCTTTAGCAACATCGTCTAATAATTCACCAGTATCTTGACCTATAATGTTCTCCTTTTCACGATTGTTGATGCACACCTTTGAAATCCATGACGTAAACGTTCATGGTGAGTGTTCGACTTGCTCGGTAATGCCTTGTTGTCTGATGCCTCTTACCCCCTTCACATTGGTCATTTGGTACATAAGGAGGTAATACCACTTCGAACCCCAAGATTACTTATGGCAGCGTGATCTCCTTTTTGTTCGACCGCAAAACTCTTTTAACAAAAACCCGCCTGTGGTTGACCACATCGGTCACCTAGGTCCTTGTATCTCCTAACTTATATCTCCTACTTTCTTCCTTGATACTTCACCTTATCCTTTGATCATAAACTGAAAGGTCATCTCCTCGTTACTTCTTTCTTAACGCCGAGACCTCGTACTACTGCTTCTCTTTCTGTATGCATCAGAGGCATCCATTGCATCGCACCCCTAACTTGCCTTCAAATTAACGCTTCTTTCAAGAATCATGACATCCTCCTTGGCTTGCTTGTTCACTCCTCGAGCCTAACTTAGCACTTACTTATCGCTGCTTGAATTTTATGTTCTTGTACTATCCATTCTGCTACTCTCGAACCCTAGCTGAAATTCATTGTACGGTTTCCCCGTCCAATAAATTTTTATCCAAGAGATCGACACCTTTCACCCGAATAGGTGATCTTGGCTTCACTTTGGGGTACCCTATAAGATTCCCTAAACTCATATCCCTATTACTGCTCTACTCGTGACTCTTCTCCTTGATGTTACTCGCTAGTTCTAGATGTCCCTCGTCCTTGATGTAGTCATCTTGGTGCCCATATTCTCTTCTCACTTATGTACCTTGACCGATAAGGTTTTCCCTTCGACCGTTCTGGACCACCACACTTCTACTTTAAAGTTGACCATTGAGCTTCTCAGTTCTTGATGGGCTTCCTATGGTCCAACTTATTCTCCACTGGAAATCACCTTAAAGCCTCCTTGTTGACCTTCGTATTCTTTCGCCGGCTCTTCCTAACTATCTTTCTCCCTGAATTTTTCGTTTTATCAACTACCACCCTTTTCACCATAACTTTCATTATAGCCTTGTGGTTTCCTCCTTACTTCCACAACTCCTTCATCGATGCTTGGTACTAGCTTTGATCTACTCAGTTTAGTAGCTCCTCGCCATACCTCAGAGCCGACATTTCCACTAGAAACTTTCTCTAGGTAGACTTGACAGATGACACCCACGACTTTTACTCACGATGGTGCTTGACCATGTCCCAACTATCTTCCTTCACGCATTCATTGTCCGGTCGACAACCACCTTTTATTTTATTTTATTTCCTATAACGTCCTATGGTGTTCTCCTTGCTTCTTTACTCTTACTACTCTTCTGTTGCTGCTTTGTACTATTTTTCGGTCACCAAACTCTGTTGAGTATCTTCTCGTTGTTGTTTTAGGTCACAACTTCCAATGGTGGCTTGCCCTTGGTAACCTTTAACATAACTCATTCCATGTCTCTTTTGTTGATCGATCTGGTACATAAACTTCATCTCTTAGTTAGGATTCTTAGTGGCTTAACTAAGCGTGCCTATTTCATCCTTAACTAGTTGTCTTTGGAGCCCTCCTACCATGCTGCGCCCACTCAGAGTGGGGTACCTTGGATAAGGTAACTTCTCTTTTTCCTCCTTCTCGGTAATTCTTTCCCTCATCATACCTCTTTGTGCAGCTTCTTGACCTCGAGTCACTTGAGACTTGACCCATTGAATCTCGTCAAACTCCCTCTGGCATTTTTGCTCTTCCTTGGTATTGTTCGTAAACTCTCTTTATTACGACCGTTTGGACTCTTCCTCGAATTCTCCAACTTCATTAGAACTTCTAATGAACGTTGTACTTGCTTGTCTATACTCAGTTGATTGAATGATTTACTCCTACGGCTGGTTCCGAGACCTCAGATCTTAGCCCTCTAGTTCCGACTTAGTAGAGAGGTTCCTCCTTCTGTCACCCCTCATGTACCCTAGGAGGCTAGGTGATCCCTCCATTTAGGATAGGACAATCCCATAATAGATCATCATGAACTCTTGCATTCTCCTTTCAACGGTCCTAAAATCCTCTTGACCTTTTGTGATCTAGGTAGTTTGTAAGGTCTCTAATATCCTCTTTCTAATTTGGTGTTATCTTGGTATCCAACTCACGCACTTCTGAGAAGTGCTTCTCTATTCGTACTGTCATCTACTAGCTAACTGTTATTCTCTCTCACAATCCATGTCTTTTCTTATGTATTGACTCCCCACTGTCTTCTACCAGGCATAGTTTAGACTTTGGTGGCACTTTCCCCCATGTCTCGTCTAACGGTGGTCGTACTAAGACCATAACTTATCCTCTACATCATTTATCTCGTTGCTTGTCTTGTTCCTTTTAAAGCCTGCTATCAGCCTAACTCCCCAGGGTCATGTACCCTCTTCTCTCGTGAGGTAGTTTATCTATAAGGGTTCCTTTATCGTCATATGGAAATGACCATGCCTCCTCTCCTCCTTGACCTGTTGACTTCTTGACATCCTTTCAGACCCCCCCTCTAACCTACTTACTTCCTCATTTACTTCATTTACTCTAGCCTAGCTTCTTTTGAAGTCTAAGCTTCCACTGCTCCTTGTCACTGTGTTGTAATAGCATAGAGCCATCAACGACTAAAATCAGTTGGGGAACTTCTCGTGGTACCTCTTCGTTTCTTGACTCGTTGCTTCCTCGCCACTGCTTAGGGTCAAGAACCCTGAAATCCTCTAATCATTATGGTTACTGCCATCTAGTGATTGTAGATCTTTCTTCGGAGATTCATAGTTCTCCTATTTGTGTGCTTTTGCTTATTAGATCCTCTCCTTGGTGCCTAGTAGTAGAATTCTTGTACTACTCCTTCAACTCCTTCAAAATCCTAGAGGTATTCCCTTACGATTGGAACCTCTTCTATTAGAAATTTAGTTATTTACCTTGATACGATTAGAGTAGACTGGAGGTTCTATAAACTCTTAAAAGAAGACCCTTGACTCATTTTCCTTTCCTTTAAAAACTGAGACCGACATTCCAGTATTCCTTGGAAACCAAGAAACAGAGGAAGACCGGCTTTGATACCAAAATAAAAAACCCAACTCGGCCGGGTACTGATTTTACCAAAATGCCCTTGATGACTCATAAACCAAAATAAGAAACGAAAGACTTGTAAAAAGAAATGGAAGCTTTCCATATATAACCATAACAATTACTGAAGTGAACTGAAATCTCTTGAAACAAAGCCCTAACACGTGGGCAAACCACAACCATAGAATCTTAATTTGAATCTCCAGTCACTACTCATAATCGTCAATCAATACTTAAAAATACTCAAAGCAAATATTTGAAAAAAAAACCGTAAGGCGTAGAATTTACCCCCTTTACACTCACCTTATATGCATCTCCAAACCTCGAATTAAAGTTGTTGGATCTTGGTGTCATTATCTCCAGAGACTACAATTCCACGCTCCACGTAACAGAATTCTGAATTAGAGAACCCATCTAGAATATTGAGCAGCATGTCATCGATCTTCTGTAGGGTTGGGACATTGACAAAAAGGTCTAACCGTGGCTGTGGTACCATGATTTTGAAGGTTCCTCCACCAGGGAAGTTCTGGACGATGGAACTAGCTCTACAATGGAATCACTTATACATAAAAACCACTCCATCTCTCGGTACCAGATTTCCTTCTTTTGAGGTGATAATGGTTGCAACTTCCACAGTTGGCTAAATACATAAGTAGAGAGATTAGGTATGGCATTGGATATTGCTAGAGCAGTGGAAACTCCATTTCCTCCACCTGACATGCCTTCTCCAAGCAGAAGCTTGGCGAATCTATCTTTCATTAGTTCAGTTTCGGACCATTCCGACTCCGGTTTCACTGCCTTCTTCGTCGGAATCAACATGTGCCTCCCGTCGATCACCGGCGGCATCAGAGTAACCGGCGGCGCGTACACCTCGTTGTCCAACTCAGGCGCGTCACAGAATGGTGGAGCGAGCGAACAAGACGTCGTGGGGAGAGAAGTGGGATCTCTTCCACGACGAAACACTCCCCATTTCTCCTCAACCAGGTCAATTGCTACCGTGTCAGCAACTGCAGCAGGGCATTGCAAGAGGGTGTTGGTACACGAAAAGACTCGATGGAAGTTCAATTAGAGGAGAAAGAATGTCGTCTCTTCAGTTCCAAGCTCGGCCGATTGAGAAGTAGGGTTTAATTGGTAGTGGTGAGGCCGAGTTAGGTATGGGGTTTCAGGTTAGCTTAGGTTTTAATTAGTTCAAGGGGTGTTTTTGGCATTTCATAAATTACGGGTGAGTTTAATCTGAAACTCAACTAGAGTCTGTAACTTACTCGATTTATGTTGAAACTCGACTTTGAATCAAGAGTTGTCATTTTAGTCCTCATCGATAATACGGTGGAACTTGACCCAAGGGTATAGTAGTCTTTTTTATTTTTGGGAAGAGCGGGGGGTAACAAGTTGTATGATCATCTTAGGAGTACTGGGTTCACCATGTCGTAGCTTATCAAATAATTTATATGGCATTACGTTTATGCTAGCACCTAAATCCGCCAAAGATTTTCCTACATGCATGCTACCAGTAATGTAAGTGATAGTAGAAATCCATGGGTATGTTCTCTTCTCTGGTAGCTTGTTCTACAGGATGGCAAAACATTGTTCATTCTACATCAGTGTCCATAACTCCCCAAAGTATACATTCACAAATTCACTTTCTTTTGTTTCTAATACCTAAAAATTCCTTCACAATGCTTGGAGGTGTGATTTATGGACTCTTGCATTCTCGTGATACTTGGTTTTCATGGAGATCCACATATCCTAGGTTGTTGCTTTTATGGTAAGTGTCTTCAAGATGCTCATGTTAGTTGACCTAAATAGGAAATTAAGTCCTTCATACACTTTTCCTCCAAGGTTTCAAGCTGAGTTGATGATAACTCTTCCCCGCTACAGGTTCCTTTAAACCATCACTCACCACTATCAAATATTCCTTGGCTTCTTCAACCCTTAAAATTAAGACACATGACCAACAGAATTTCACAGAACCCATATGAAAAAATAAAAAGTTTGAGGACTAAAAATGAGTTATACTAAAACAACACACTTTACTCAAAGTTAAATGAACTTATTCTTTGGCACCAAAGTCCTTCCTGACCATGGTTCAATCTTCAGCTACAACAAGCTCCTGGCCAAGAATTAACAATAACCTTTCCAAATTATCAAATATCAATTAGGGCATCACACCAGCCATCAATTGCTAGCTGTAGTAGGGATTAGGCGTAGTAATTGTTTACTTGAGATGGAGAGTCCAGACTGTTTCGTCAAATCTATGTGTTGAAGTGCTATGGGAAGTTTCCAGTCAAAATGGAAGAGCAAATTGGCGAGGCCCAGTTGAAAAATAGCCATTCCGAATAACATGCCAGGGCAAATCCTTCTTCCAGCACCAAATGGTATATACTCGAAGTGTGCTCCTTTATGGTCAATAGAAGAGTTCAAGAACCTCTCTGGGCAAAACTTTTCGGGATCAGTCCAATAACTAGGATCTCTTCCCATTGCCCATGCATTGACTATCACTCTAGTTTTAGCAGGGATAACAAAACCATTGATCTTAATGGTCTCTCTCGTTTCTCTTGGAAGTAGCACAGAAGTAGGAGGATGCATTCGCATGCTCTCTTTGATCACTGCACCTAAGTAAGTTAACTCATGGAGCCGTTCTTCACAAACTTTTCCCTTGTCACCAAAGACTTGCCTCACTTCTTCTTGTACTAGTCGTAAAACATTTGGGTTTTGAATCAACTCAGACATAGTCCACTCCATTGTGGTTGCTGATGTTTCCATACCACCAATGAAAACATCCTGGTATGATCACAACAATATCAATTAGCAATATGGTAACAATGATAAAATAATAATGTATCTAGCTAGATAATAGGTATGAATGTGTTGAACTAACAAGAATGACGGCTTTGATGTCGTCAGTTGTTAAGGGAAGTTGGAGGCCCCCAGTCCGTTGAAGATTGAGTAGAATGTCCACAATGTCTTCTATTTCATCATCATCATCATCATCATCACTATGTTGTTGTCGTTTTCTATCTGCTTTGACTCTGTGTTTTTCGATGATCTTCTCAAGCAATGAATCTGCTCTCTGATGAAGTGTCATGAGCTTGGCTTGATAGCCTGTAATGACGGGGATGAATTTGAGGGAAGGGAAAAGATCTGACAATCCAAAACCTCCAAGTGCCTCCGCAATCCGCTCAACAACCGCCATGAATGTTTCCTTATCCGTCTTCTGCAGCGTGCCAAAAGCTGACCTACAAGTATGAAAGCGAGGGGCAGAAAGAAAATCTCAAATGTCGGATATATTAAAAATTATGGATGGGAATGTGCCGAAGCATCGAATCAAGTTTGAAAGAAATATTCTATAAATAAGATGTGATCTAGTTTTTTACTATATAATAAAATTAAATTAATGTGACACCTTATAATTTAAAATTATATTATCAAATATAAATTGTCGTGTTATATGAGTTTTAATTATAAGCACTTTCTTTTTTTATAAGCGTAGTGTGGCATGAGTTAAATTGGATTGAATGTTTAAAGACTAAGGTTAAAAACATTTAAAGAATGTTTTTAACAATGATTCAATATTCGAATAAGAGTGTGAAACTATATGACGTGCATTTCACACTTTACTGATTTTATCAATATAAAATCGTTAAAATTGTTAGCAACCGTTAATAAATCAATGGCCCGTAACACTAATTTTATAAATAACACATAATTACATGAAAAAATAAAAATTCTAATCATATACATTCTTTACTGGAAGAGACAGTAGAAAATTTAATTTGTTCCATGTATATGGGAAGTAGAATTTGATAGTGAATCAAATTGGGAGAAATCAAAAATTTTAGTTTTGTGAATTAAATTGGGGCATTAATTTGAAATGAAAAGTGAATTAAATTGGGGCCATTACTTTGGGGACCGAATATGGAGACAATACCAATTATGTTGTTAGGGTAACAATATTAGTAATCCAACCAATAGGAAATTAGACTTGTGATTACTTTTTTATTAGTTAGGTTGACTAAATTTAGATATAAAAATTTACAAAGGGATGTAATACTCTTTTTGAATATGATATTCAAACTAACAAAACTAGTGGTAAAAAACAGAAATAAAATATTTTTTAAAGTTTTCCATTTTTCGGTCGTCGAAATTCGGTCAATGTGGCAGGAATATGCTCACTGTCGTCAGAATTCCTTCCCCATGATCGAAATACACTCAATATCGTCAAAATATACTGTATGCCACCGTAATCTGGTCATTATGGCCGATGTATGCTCACCGTCGCTGAATTTGGGTCCCTGTAGCGGGAAATGCTTACCAGCACCGGAATCCGGTCAATGGAAGCGGAGTTCGGTCACCAGACGCAGAGTGCGGTCACAGGTCATCGAATTTTGTGATTTGTGGTCTGAATTTTGTGATTTGTGGTTTGATATCTCAGGTTTCTGGTTTGCCTTTTGTGGTTTGCATTATCGTATTTTTGTTCTAGATTCAGAGACTTGTAGTGTGGTTTAAAATATTTTTGGTATGTTTTTATGGGGATCCTGGTATGCTTTAAGAGATTTGTGATATGCATTAGAGGTATTTAGCGTGCTTTATAAATATTTATGATATGATTTATGGTGTTTATCGTCTGCTTCATGAGATGTGTACTAAACTTGTATATTTAATAAGCTCATCACCAGGTTTGAAATATTTGAGAATCAGTCTATTGTGGGTTCTTTGTTAAATTTTGTATTGAACAATAGAAATGAATAAATGATATTAGATATTTTTGAAAAACAATAAACTACAAAAATATAATATAATTTCAATTATCAGAATGATTAAATGACCGGGACTCAATTATAAAGTGGTAAATAGCCATGAGTTATTTACCAAACTCAACTTTATGCATATTTTCTTGCTTAACTTTAATCCCTTCCTCGATCACACTACTCAATAGGTAGTTAGTGGGACATGGTTGTTAAGTCAATGACATGTCGGCCGGTATAACTAGGTTCAACCAGTATTGGACATAAACGAACTAGAATATGCCTAGTATGAGGTGATCGTCAATACTAATCAAAATCAGTCAATAGTGAAAAAATTAGCATAACCAATTTATGATCACTGAACATAATGACATCGTTTTGGTGAATTTAATTAAGAAAAATATGTGTATTTGAATATGATGATTTTAATTTTATCTAATTATGAATGTTGATGTTATTTGGGGTATTCAGTATAAATGTTTGAATCTTTATATTAAATATTGTATTTAAATATGAAAATATGTATTTGTTTGTAATGTTGTATCTTATTCAATATGGATGTAGATTATATAGGAATTATAGTCAGATATGTTAGATACGTGTAGTGTTGCTAGTTTTCAGTTTTCCTATATAATTCGTTAAAACTTACATGTACTATTTGTACCTCGATCGGACAATATCACTTGCTAAACTGCGTAACGACATAAACTTATTTGACTGGGTCCATATAACCTTTTATTATTGGTCAATAATACATATAAGTTGCTATGTTATTCTTGAACAAATTTCCATTTTTTTAATATATTATTTGAAAATTAATCTAGCGAGGATATAATTGATGCTATAGAATGGGGAGCGGAAAGGGTGCAAAACCCCTATATGCAAAACAACATCTCCATCCATCCATTTTGAGGAAATCTAGTGGCTCAAATTAATTCCCAACAAAAAACCTTATAGGGACATAGGTAATTTTAGTACTATCATACCATGTGTCGGTTTTAACTCTTCAAAATATGTGTCGGTTTTAGTACTATCACGATCATATTAATCATATCACTATCATATCAGTATATGATACTATCACTATAATATAATGATAATATCAATAATATCATTTGTCATATTATAATGATATAACTATGATATAGTGATTATATCGATCATATCAAATCATATTAGTGTCATATCAATGTCATATAATGAGTTCACTATAATATAGTGATAATATCAATCATATTAGTGTCATACAATAATATCAATCATACCACTATTAGTGGTTATATCATGATATGATAGTGATATGATTACATTATAATTTTTGCTACAAAAAATATCAAAATGGATATCAGCTTGCAGAGCACAAAAATTAATCTGATTTTTTTATAATTTTTTTTTAAATCCGAAGTAAAATGAATAAACTATGTTCCATTGTATCTTTGTTGGAGATTTGAAAATGACATTTACACCGTCTGAAAATCAGCACGCAGGTAAGGAAAGAGAAGAGTGAACACATATCATACAGTGCATTTGCTCGCACATGAACAAGACTGGAGTTATTTTTTGTCCATAACAAAATTACCCCTCACCTCTCACAAAAAAAAAAAAAAATTACCCCTCACCATCCATGGCCTTTAGATCTACTATCCCTCGAACCTCAGCCATTGATCATAATTTTGCAACCCCAAAAAAAAATTCCAAGGGATTTTGTATATGAACCTCCGCAATAGAACGTCTTAATATACACAGTTAATTAATGGAAAAATGTTTATATCTTTCGGCACCTAATTTTTGTTAAATGATTAGAAAGATATTTAACGGAAAAATAATTTTGAACGTTTTTTAGATATCAAATAATAAGTTTGACTTGATTAATAGAATCCTAAAAATTTTTGCAGGTAAACTAAATCGGCAGATTCCCATAGTAAAAAAAAGAGGATGGCATTCCTTTTTTATCTCGGGTAAATAACTTCATTCTTGAACAATTATGTGAGAAATCAAACAGAAAGGCAATATAGTTAGTAAAATATGGTATTGATTTCTGACAATATTAATACCTATGAAGTTTTGTTTGTCATTGTAATATAATAATGAAATGATTTTGAAAGTATGACAGTCATAAAATGTCATCAAATTATTTTGTCAAACATAACACATCATATCAACATCATATTAATATGATATCATACCGCTATTCATGGTAATATCATGATATGATAATGGTATAATTAATGACTTGAAAATATTTTGTTCAAAAGATAACAAAATGAATATCATATTGTAACCATTCATTATGATTTTGTAGTTCTACAAAACGAGATAATTTTGTACCTTAAGGGGAACGGATTAGGTCAGTAATCTTATGGTTAGTAACCAAGAGTAACCCATCCACATCACCATGATATCACTATCCCTCTTTTTCCTTGAAATTTTTTTATTTTTTCCCCTTTAATCTTTAACGGACGATTTCTCTCTCGTTTTAAGTTGAAATTTAAATTTTTTTTGAACAGATGGATAATTTTTTACCAGTCATTACCATATGGTATGCTCATATTTAATACCATATGGTAAGAAAGCGTACCATGATGGTATGAACATACCAATATGGTAAATATGTTGAATACATTATAGTAGGAGTATACTAACTGTCATTTACGAGTTTCATCAATATTTATAGTAAGTTACCCACATACCATAGTGGTAAAGTATGGTAATTTTTGGTCCATTATTTTTTTCACCCAGAAAATTTTAGATCCAATAGATCATGATGAACTCGTTCCTTTGGAGCAAACGTTTTAAAAAACGACTTAAAAACGAAGAAGTTACCATATGGTATGTAGTTTGTAAAAAAAAAGTTTCTCGGAATATATTGAAAATTGATATCATTTTGTAGAGCACAATGAACTCGTTCCATGTGTGCAAAAAAAATTAAAATCCAAGTTAGAACGAAGAAGATAAGAGCTGATTATGAAAACTATGAAAAATAAAATGCCTTTAATTGACAACGTTTAGATCTAGATTTTCTGGGCCCACTTAAATTTAAAGGTCCAAATTTAGTTACTCATAGGTCAGTAACCATTGGTTACTCACCCTATTCTAAGCCTACCCTAAGTCAAATCTTATGAAAATATCAACACAAATTTTTAGAAAATACATATATTTGGAAACTATGCATCCAAGTACCTGTAAGTCACGTTGCTAGTGAAGGAAAATAGCATCTCCCTGAGATCGACGCCTTCCTCATCCCTCGCAGCAGCAGCGGCACGAATGCGGGAGATAAGAGTGGAGACCTCCTCCTCCCTGACAGAGCGGAACGAAGCAACGCGCCTTGCGCTGAGCAGCTCCACGATGCAGATCTTCCGCATCTGCCGCCAGTACTCCCCGTAAGGCGCGAAACCGATGTTTTTGCAGCCATAGAAGATGATTCTCGCGACCAAGATACTGGGCCTGGAAGCGAAGACTAAATCGTGGGTTTTGAGCACTAGTTTGGCTGCTTCTGGGGAGGAGATGACCACGTTGGTCACCTCCCCGATCTGCAGGCTCATCACGGGCCCGTATCTCTGAGCCAATTCCCTCAGACGGATGTGGAGAGCTGGAACTCGACTGAACATCAGCTGATGGAGGTTCCCAATGATGGGCAGCTTCCATGGCCCTGGTGGTGCTGCTGCTGCTGCACTTTTCTTGGCCGACAATACTCGGCTGCCCCAAATGAAGGATGTTAAAAATAGTACAAGTGGGATAGCAAGCAGCATCGGCGAAACGGAGGAGATGTGTATCATCATCATCCTCCAGTATTGCTTCATTAGTTATATTCTTTCCTTTCCCTTTCTTTCTTTCTTTCTTTCTTTCTTTCTTTGTTTCTTAATGGGTTTCTCTCTGTTTTTACTTGGTGTGTGTCTATTAATCTCTCTCTCTCTCTATTCTTCTTGGTGTAAATCCAAATCGAAAATGGCTGTTCTCTTTCTTCTTTTTTATAGGAAGATTGGAGGAGGGAAGGCAACAGTTGACTTCCGGCCACCAATGAATGAAATTAGAATTATTAAACCCAATGATTATCTCTATATGTTCGAGGGTAATGGCGTATTATAATTAAATTACAAAACGGTTCCCCATATATAAGTGATGACAATAAAATGACTCGCTCACATTAAACAAAAAGTGAAGTGGAGGACATGAAATCCAAACCAATACCTCATTTCGTGGAAAAAGTCTATTGTCTCACGTCTCGCCATCTTAATTATTTTTTGTGAAAATATAGTAAGATTATGTTTTACTTCAATAATCATGATCAATAAGTGATTAGCTGACATTACAGTTTGGTTTAATGGTTGACTAATTAATAGGTGGCCGCCTCTTCACATGCATCTATGTTTAGGAACTCCACTCACTAGAATGAATTTTTTATTATTGGTAGCTTCTGTATTTTTTTCTTGACTATTATTGTTCTGATTCCTCTATTTAACTAACCAAAACAGGAAAAAGGGGAATCAAACGGAATTTTGGCAATGAAATTCTTTCTTTGAGATAACCTATGTTTTAACTTGGGTTAATAGCAATTTATACTTTATATCCTCTATTATTACAAGTTAACAATATACCCCTCTTTTATTATTTCATATAAACGTACCCCTCTATTCGAAATATAACTAACGCAACCTTCCATCCGAAATTTTGTTAATTGACCGTTAAATGAGATGTAAAATGACCAAACTATCCCTCCAGATGCATGTAAAATGACCAAATGAGATGTAAATAATTATTTACCCTTTTTCAGTGGAAATAAAACAAGAAATAACTTAATTAATCTTTATTTTTCCTTTCCCATATACCCCTCTTATTCGCCCCAGCGTCGCTCCCCTGCTCTCTCTTCGACGACTTCTCCATGTCAGCTCTAGCTTGCTAAATTCAATGGCAGATGCAAAAATTAGATGTATTTCTCCACTTAACCCAAATATATATTACCCAGAATGAATCCAAGGAAGTTTTCGAAATTACTAATTAGCAATAAAAAGAAGATTAGATAGGGAGTGTTTTCCGGCGAGGAAAAACTTGTGTTTGGACACAATGAATGCACCTTTGACTTATTGAACAACGATAATTACACGGTTCACCCTCTCCGAACAATGTTCGAATGAGGGTGTTTGATGTTTTTTATGGTTTTTGGGAGTAATCTAACTAACGCAACCTTCCATCCGAAATTTTCTTAATTGACCGTTGAATTAGATGTAAAATGACCAAACTATCCCTCACTTGTTAAATAATTATTTACCCTTTTTTCAGCCAAAATAAAACATGAAATAACTTAATTAATCTTTATTTTTCCTTTCCCATATACCCCTCTTATCCGCCGCAGCGCCACTCCCCTGCTCTCTCTTCGACGACTACTCGATGTCAGCTCTAGCTCGCTAAATTCATTGGCAGATGCAAAAATTAGTTGTATTTCTCCACTAAACCCAAATATATATTACCCAGAATGAATCAAAGGAAGTCTTGAAAATTACTAATTAGCAATAAAAAGAAGATTTGATAGAGAGATACAGCGAGAGAGAATTACAGATGGAATTAGAGAGAGAATGACATTGGCGTCCTTTTTTTGCTTGACCTTCCTCCCATAGAGCTCTCCTAATAAACTCAATCTTCACTAGCGTGGGCCCCGGCCATTTGGCCGGAGGAAGGTTAGGTATGAAATTTGATAATATAATGGGCTGTATAGCTTATTGTTGTATAGTTTTTTTTTTTGAAACAAGTGATAAAAATAGTGAATTTTAGTAGGAAAAAGACGTGAATGATGTAACGAATCAAAAATCACCCTTATGAACCAGAAAATCGAATAAAAAATTGCCTATCCTGCCGATTTTCGGGAAATGAGCATCTCGCAATCGTTGCTAGCTTTTACTCGGTCCGTTGGCCGATTAATTTGCTTCATAAAACTTTCATCTTGTCATCATTGTGCTTTCTGGTTTTTTTGCCAAGCCATGATAAAATCTAAAGAAATTAGGAATGAACAACACGATTTGGGATAGGAACCACCGTTCCTGTATCCATAGAAAATGGTGGTAAACACGAACTCACCTGCCAAACTGGTTTGGATTGAGATTTTTATCAGGTATCAGGGAACCATGTGATTATAAATTAGACTTGATCAAAACGGACCAAAACTTGAAATTCAGCCTATGTGACCGACCCATGCCAAACTCTAATTATTCTTTACTTTTAAGCTTTCTATTTGAAAATAAAAAATAATGAAAGAAAAGAGATGACTGCAATTCGCCATTTGCACATCACTGATTCGGGGAATAAAACTATAGAATTTCGAAAGAAAACTGAAAATGTTTAGGATCGTTTTAATGTTAAAAATAACCAAATGGATCTTTCTGTTTAGTTTTTTACTAACAAATACCAAACGATTCCCTATAATATACACTATAATTTAATCATTATGATATCAAATAATTACATAATATATATTTGAAATGATAAAAATTGGACTAATTGGGTTGGTCGAGATTGAACCATTGAATAACTTTAAAATACATTATATTTTAGCCACTAAGATATAAAATAATAGCATAATATATATTATGCTAGAGAAAATATTTTGTTTTAGAATGACAAACCCATGATGTTCATTTGGTTTACTTGATGGGCAAATCCCGTGTAGGTCAGGCCCATTCAACTCTTTTATTTTATGATTAGCGGTTAGCCCATTAGAATCCATGCATTAGTTTATTGTTAAATTTTTTTCTTTTTAGCAATAAAAAGGAGTATTGTTTTTGCTTTTTCATATATATTTTACCACCACGGAGAAATAAAAGGACTTAAAGAAAAAAATTGTCACTCCTGGACCCGTTTAAATCCGCATGTGTACGGTAAGTTGGCCCGTTCCACAAAGGAGAAAGAAAAAAATTGACACTCCCTATTCTACCCTTTCTACAAACCTCGTGGAGCAAGAAATTTGAAATGGCGGAAGGGTTTTTTCCTCTCTACAATTATATGTTTTTAATTCAAAAAGATACAACAAATGTACTTAGTGAGATTGGTTATGATCTTTGTTTTTCTTTAAAGTGGTCATGGTTCGAATCCTAGTAAGTGTCTTTTTAATGAATAAAAAAAAGTAATTGTGAAGACCAAAATGTCATTCCTACTTTCACTCTGGATGCATGAAATTTGAAATGGGGCTTCAAGTTTCTGAATTGCTATTCGTCGCCCTAAAATTTAAATTTTGTCGCCCTAAAACCCAACAAATTGACATATTTACCCTCAACTCAATTTCTATCCACCCAAACAATCCCCTGTCTCTTCCCCACCCAAATCTGCCGCCAGCAACTACTCCCCCACCCTCATCGACCGCCCAAAACCCCTCCAACCCCAGACCCCAATCCCTCCCGCCGACCAAATTCCCTCCACAACCCAAATCCGACGCCCACCCCAATCACGACGTTGTCATCGACCACAGGGAGGAAGATGAAGGCAGACGAAGCGGATAGAATGCAGACGAAGCGGACGAGAATACTACTTGTATCCTAAGTCCTACCGCCGTTGCTAATCGACCGGTGTCACTGCCAGAAAGAAGACGACGACCAATGCCACAAGGATGATTTTTTATTATTATTATGTTGCCGCGGCGGACGTACCTGTCGCCGGCAATTTTTCAACCTGGTCGCCGCTATTGAAGACAAGTCGAATTGATTTAAAAAAATGCTATTGGAATTATTAATTAACTATTACAAATATACCAATGTGATATAGAATTATTTGATATTCGTTATTTGATGTAAGTATATGAGTTTGTTTTGGATTTAAGTGTTTGAAAGAGAAATAAATGAATTAAGGACATTAGAGTAATTTTAATTTAATTAGGGCGACAAATAAGAAATTTTAGGGCGACGAATAGCAATGCCTTCAAGTTTTCTCATTTGACTTTTTATTTATTGTGTAGATTAAATCTAATGGGAACAAGGCACTGATCAGCACTCTGCTGGTCTTAAGTATCAGAGAGCTTCTTAGATCAATCGAATTCAACAACGGCGACCACCTCCATGGATTTATCGGCTGGAGGAGGAAAAGGGCTAATCGGGAGATATGATTGGTAAACCCAAAGATAAATTGTTGTTGCGACTCCAAAATCTCAGCTCGTTGGCCGCCACCGAGGCAATTGAGTGATCTGCCACCGACAAAAACTCGGTCCCACCGCCACTGCCTCCTCCAATCGGATGATCGACCTCGAAGGTGCTGGAGTTGGAAGGGAAAGCGCCTTGGTAGCAGGGGCTCAAGAACAGCAATCGCCTTCAGAATAAAAAAATAAGTTCAATAATTATTGACCCGAAAATAAATTAATAGAGGGATAAATGAGTCATTTCAACTTCACAATAACGGTGACTTAACGGAAAATTCTATAGAAGGGCACATTTGTTACCTTTTGATAGTTGAGCGGTACTAATGTGAAAAAATTAATTAAGGGATACATTTATTAACTTGCAATAGTACAAGAGTATAAAATGCTATTAACCCTTTCAAATTTTAAGAAGATGACGGAAATTACGTATCATACAATTTGTTTCTCGTAAGTATATTTTCTAATTTTTTAAAGGCAAAATACACTGATATAGTTAAAACTTTCGCGTTTGTGACAATAATAGCCAATTTTGTAGAAATACCACTTATAACCACTTCCATCCAATTCTTTAACGGTGTTAGCGTTAATTCTGACTGGACAAACGAAAATGCTGACATGGTGAGCACCTTCGGAAAATTTTGTCTCTAAAAATCCACGTGGATTTAAAGA